CGACGCAGCTTTTCGGAAGCAACTACAATGTGTACCTAATTGCCGTACATCATCGTTTCATCAGTAGCAGTGTCGTTGCAACGAGCGGAGAATACGATAGAACAAGTGTGTGTATCGACGAGGATTGGATCCAAGCGACAATTGCTGTGTGCAATTTACGTTCCTCCAGACAAGAGCAAGGATCTCAGCGTTTTGAATGGGCATATTGAATCGATCCAAGAGCTTTGTAACAGTGGCTCTGACAGCGATTGCTTGCTGGTATGCGGTGACTACAATCAACCTGGGATATCCTGGAGTTGGGCTGATGGCGAGATTCGACCTGTGAACTCTGTTCCTTTACCAGTTGCTAGCTCATTCTTGATTGATGGCATGGATTTCCACAACCTGCATCAGAGAAATCTCGAGCGCAACCACTTAGGACGCATCCTGGATTTGTTCTTTTGCCATACGGACTTTCCTGTGGAAATCTCGAGATCTGTTTCACCACTCTTGCCAGTTGATCTTCATCATCCGCCACTAGTCGTCTGCTTACCATCTCTAGTTGATGACGGTGCACTGCTGCTGAATGCGAGTGATGAGCTTGCGTTAGACTATAGCAAGATTGATTTCGATGTTCTAATGGACTTCCTTTCCGTCACTGACTGGGATCTTCTTTTCGATGGACTGAATGCTGATGAAATGGCTGAAACGTTGTGTGCTGTGCTAAATAATTGGATGGATACAAACGTACCGATTCGTCGGCCTGCTGTTTCTCCTGCGTGGAGCACCGCTTTGCTACGAAAACTAAAACGAAATAGAAATGCTTCGCAACGTAGACTTCGGCGATACCGTTCCCTGGCAAATAAGCGTAGTTTTCACTTGGCGTGTAACGAGTACCGTAATCTAAACTCTTCGCTCTACAAATCGTACATTTTACGAGTGCAAACTAATTTAAGGCGAAACCCCAAGAGCTTTTGGAGCTATGTAAACTCGAAGAGGAAAAATTCAACAATGCCTGCAAGTGTTTTTTTCAATGACATTGAATCGTCGATAGGCGGGGAGAAATGTGAGCTTTTTGCTGCTCATTTTTCGTCGGTTTTTGCCGCAGAATCCATCTGAACTTGTCTCGGCTGTTTCGGATGTGTCTTCAAACCTTGTTGACATAAACACTTTTGAAATAACGCCCGTTATGGTAACTAATGCCGCCAAGAAAATGAAATGTACCTTCTCGCCTGGACCAGATGGCATTCCTTCTGCAGTGTATTGTCGTACCATTGGAGCGCTTGTTGAACCGCTTTGCAGAATCTTCAACAAATCTTTTGTAGAGTCGAAATTTCCTGCAATCTGGAAAGAGTCATTTATGGTTCCGGTACACAAGAAAGGAGATAAACGTGACGTTAAAAACTACAGAGGAATTACTAATCTCTCTGCAGCATCAAAACTGTTTGAGATAATTGTGAGTGGTTTCATTCTTGAGCACACCAAATGCTATATCTCTAGTGACCAACATGGCTTCATGCCTGGACGATCGGTTACCACAAATCTTCTAAATTTTACCACGACATGTTTTGAGCAACTGGAAAATGGGGCACAAATAGACGTCATCTACACTGATCTAAAAGCAGCGTTTGATACGATCAACCATGACATTATGTTGGCAAAGCTATCCAAACTCGGTGCGTCGGACCGTTTGACTTCGTGGTTGTGCTCCAACTTGACTGACAGGTCTCTGCGAGTGAAACTCGATTCCAGTACTTCCTCGTATTTCACGAACTCGTCAGGTGTACCACAGGGTAGCAATCTTGGCCCGTTGCTGTTTGTGTTGTACATCAACGACGCACTTCTTCTACTTGGAGATGGCTGTAAGCTTGCGTATGCCGATGACCTAAAGCTGTACTTCGTGGTGCGGACTGCTGAGGATTGCATTCGTCTTCAATCGGTATTGGATCTGTTCGTTGATTGGTGTCGGAATAAGCTTACCCTCAGCATTCCTAAATGTATGGTAATGTCGTATTACCGCATCAGGCAGCCGATTGTTTTTGACTATGCCATCAACGGTGTGGTTCTTCAAAGAACCGACCAGTTCAGCGATCTTGGTACCACCGAGAACATTACGAAGTGGTACCCTTTTCCAACCGCGGTACCATCGAACGGCGTTCGGTTACAACGAACCACTAACAACTATGATGCGTACGTTTACGGCTGTCGAAGAATTATTCGAATTTGGGGAATCTTCATCTCGCTTTTTGGCACGGATTAGAAACACTTGAATTGTTTTAGCTTTAAGGTTGTTTCATGTAGACAATAGTCCGATGAAAAAAATTAAATAATAATAATAATAATAATAATAATATATCAGAGAAGAATACCAAAGCACAGACTACGAAAGTCTCATGTAAAATTAGGACCAATTTCTTCTTCTCCGCTTAAATCTTAAGCCAGCTTTACCTATATAGTTAAACATAGCTTAACACATACGAGCGTCGCTTTTGATTATTGTTTAAATTACTAGAGACGCAAAATTCAGCTCCGAAACAATTTTGGAAATAATTCTAATATAATTGAGAGTGCATTTTAACGAGAGTTCTGAGAAGAATTCTATGATGATTGCATGAGGATTCTAGGTCCAATTAGTTCTGAAATTTTGCTTAAGGGGGCTCTGATGAGAATTTCATTTAAATCCCGTGAACTTCAAAGATGGTCTCTGCGGATAGTTCTTAAAGAGTTCTGGGTGATTTCTGACAATACTTCCAAGAGAATTCTAAAGAGTTCGAAATAAATTCCGAGAAGAATTCCAATAGAATCGAATTTTGAGGGTTCAATCTTAAAGGAATTCTGATGGATTTTTGTATTGAGAATTCTGAGGAAATACTATGGGGATTCTAAGGAGAATACGAATTGAATTTCCAATTGAATGCAAGGGAGGAGTTCAAGATTATTCTAAGCAGAAATTTCTGAAATTTCTGAGGTTAATTCCATGGAAATTCTGAGGATGGATTTATGGAAGGAGCCTTCAAAATAATCTACTTTAACTTTTTATGTGTTATTACTTCATGCGTGAATTTAACGGTTTACATAGTCGGAGATGCTTAACGTCAAATATCAGACTAAAAGTGGAGATTTTATACGATCGATGAGGAGATTCAATAATAGAGTTGATAGTTTCGTTATAGTACGGTAGTGTGAAAATTGTTTATACAAAGTAGAAAGCGAGCAAAGGACAATTTTGAGGAAGGTACGAATCGCGTAGTTGTTTACGTCAGATGGCGATTTGAGTGTGAAACAATCGATAGAACTGTTACCGCACATCAGAGGTATATGAGCAAATCGGCGATCATCCCTTTTGCCAGTGGTGGTAGGGGGAAAAACCCCTCACCATCCCTCATTAATGGATGAGCTTGGTAAAGGAGAAGGTTTTCCCTATTCGTACCTTCCTCAAAATTGTCCTTTGTTCGCTTTCTACTTTCTATATACAAATTTCACACTGTCACACTATAACGGAACTATCAACTCTTTACTTTCATCTCCTCATCTATCGTATAAAATGACCACTTAAATTCTGATATTTGATATTAAGCATTTACAACTACGAAAATAATGTATTTATAAGAATTTTGTTGATTGTTCAGCAAAGAATTTCAAGAGTGCAATATTATTTTTGTAAAAGCTTATTTACCTCTAAGTTTAAGAGAAGGGGAATTATTCTAAACAAGTTCTTGAGATCATTCTGAAGAAATTCTGTGAAAAGTCCTTAGCGACTTATCAAAGTTATCTACCTAGATATATCAAATATTTAAAGATTTCGAACGCAGAATCAAATTTAAGATCATAAAAAATGAATTTACTATTTGCTAGTCATTATGTATAACGTAAACAAAAGTAAATTATTCAAATCACTTGAAATGCTCTTCACAGGAGATTCCGTTGTGAGATTCGATTAAATTAGGAATTTATGAAATTTGATTTTAAGTTCCATGACATAAAAAGTTTATTTCAATATCAATCCGTATTTGAATTTCTAAGTTACCATATAAATAGTTACTTATTTAGTATTTACAAGTCACTATTTGGTCACTTTTTCCGTAATTTTAGTCACTAAAGTCACTGCTATTATATCGCATCAGCACTACCAGCCCTGTCCCCTAAATTGTGCGCCTAAACTCTGTGAATCTGTTTGGACATTGTTCGTTTTTAAGGAACTGTCCCAGTCGTGATTGATCTAGTAGTAGATCTGTACTCCGCCAGGACGATAGGAGAACCTAAAATATCTGGTATACATGGAATACGTGGATAATGAGCTAGGTTGTTGGTCAGGCCAAAAAGATATTCAGATTGGAAATTTAGAGTCATCATTGTGTTTGCCGCACAATATACAAATGCAATAATGATAAGAGGTTGAGAAGTAGTCAAAGTGCTTAAAAAGCTATTGCCTTGGGTTCCATTTAGGGTGTGATACTCACGATGAAAAAGAAGAAGTGAATTGAATAATTAAGTTTGAGAGACTGGATATATACGTCTACAAAATACCCATTTACTATCGGTAATACCAAAGTTATCGAACTAGTCATGTTTACCAAATTTATTAGATTTGCTTTGAAATATAGGATCCACAATCACGCAACAGGATATTGCAAATAAGTGTGAAATAAATCGTTTGAATTGTCCCATTCTACGAGTTCATTCAGCTTTCCTGCCTTTCTCACGTGACTCACCTTTCCATGACCAGACCCAAACGAATAATATACAGACTATCCACTTTAAACGTCTGCTCCGCCTATCCCTCGTATCACTGGCAGTTTGCAAAATATATTCGTGCCTGCGACTCGTTTGGTAGCACACAAAGAACGCGCTTGTCATACAGAGGGTATGCCTATGTAGGTACGACGAAAACTTTCAATTTCACCACTTTCCTGTCTTTTTTTGTGTTTGTGCTATGTTGCTTTGGCGCTGACTGACTGGTTCCTCTTTCATATTAAATTTGATTCAATAATGGTGTCCCCTCCTTTCGGTTCCCATTTCAGCTGACGCCAGCAACAGCACTGGTACCATCAGTTCCAGCAGCAGTAGTAGGAGCAGTAGCAGCAGCAGCAGCAGCAGCAGTAGCGGCAGAAGTGGCAGTAGTGTTGGCATCAACCGGAACGGAGCAATCGGGGAGGAAAGTGGCAATGAATCATCGTTATTATCAGCGACGGCGGCAGGATCCCAATCCTCCATCGAGCCAATCACGATATCTTCATCACCGTTCTCCAAGACAAGGTAAGTTAGGTTCCCCAGAGATGAATTTGGTGGTTTCTTCTTTCCGTATACAAATCTGGATGGTGTGGGATGGGCTATTTTGCCAAAGCGAAAGAACAGAGCAGAGCACGCAGAAAAAGGGTTTAAGTAGTTTTAAAATTAGATTTCCTGTGTCAGGCTCCAACCAAAGCGTGACTAGGGGTTTTGTTTATCCAAAGAAAACTCTATTGAAAGTAAAAGAGCAGAAACTCGCTAACAACCTACCCCCAAAGCTTGCTAAATGTGATACTAAAATGTTATTTGAAATACATTTGCACTTGCAGAATAGCTTGACGCAAGCAGTGCCCTCACCTGCATACGGCCATCAGGCTCAATCTCTTCATCCCATCGCCTTTTTTTCACCGGCGTACCGGCCGGTTGCAAACGGTTGAGAACCTGCTGAGGCGTAGATATGTACGCTTCGGAGATAGACTAATGGTAATATTTATCATTTTATTGAAAAACATACATTAGTTTCGCCCAGGCTGTGTGATACATATTTCTATAAATATAGGGTTTGAGCTTTCGCACGAATCAAGCGGTGGGGTGAGGGTACCTACTCTACTCCTACGTCTTGTTCGTTAGATCCAATTCCGACACTAGTTGTAATTGCAAAAGTACGGTTCACAGAGCGCTCGAGATTGGTACTATTGGTAGGTGTACTTTATCTGTGATTCTGAACTGAAACGTGTGCCGGGCTGCCAACAGCATCATCATCATCAGCATCTCCAGCTCAGTTCGGGAAAACCATGATTTGGTCCGTTGAGCCAGGATTGAATTTCAAACTATTACTAGATCCATTAGCGAGCTTGGCTCGGCCCACATTTTTAGACCAGCAAATAGATACCTGTCCAGCTTTTTGCTTCAATTTATGAGTTATTGATTTGTCGAATTGAGATTCGCACTAGGCGATTGTGTGCTGGGAATTTCCTAATGCGCTGATGCAGATATATGCTCCGATTATTATTCGGGTGGTTCGATACATGGAGTTTAATTGATTTATCTCGTCAATCATTTTTAATGGCCGCAGGATATTTGTGGATTTCACAATAGAGCAGTTACGTCAACTGACGAATCGATTTTATTTTCCCACTCTGACTTGCATGAAACTTTGCATAATTGTTCGCTAGGGGCCAACTTTATCTCAGACGTCATTTAGATCAGATGGGTCGTTTATGTGCTATTGAAAAATATAGAATACGCCATCTTGAAAAATTAGGTGCGAGACAAAAAAAAAAAAAAATGCAAGGTATTTTGAAAAATTTCTCCCCGGTGATCAATTTTCCCTCGGACTACGGTACTTGTAAGTAGAATTCCAAAAATTCTAATTCCAAAAGCACTCTTAGGAGTATTTTAAGTTGCACGGAAATCTGTATGTAGAATTTCAAGGTTGTTCCTGTAATCATCTTTAGAGATCCCAAGGCGGGAGTTCTTAGGGAATATATAGAGAATTCTGAAGATTATTCCAAAATTTAGTAAATACTCAACAGAGATGTTTTCAGGAGAATTCTTTGTGTAATTCCTAGGGAATACAGCAAGAATTGTTAATAATTTTATGAGAATTGCACGGGTAATCATTAGACTGATGCAAAATTTGTAATTTTTACTCCATGGAGGTCCCAGTTTGGAACCGCTCAAACGGTTCCAAACTGGGACCTCATAAAATTTGAACTCATTTAGTGAGAAACAGACTTGGCACAAACCATTTTAAGTTTATATGGGAATTACTGTGGAGAAACCATAATTTCGGTTCATATCTATCTCAAAATTCACCAGTTAACTCTACTTTAGAAAACGATAGCTGAGCTTTTCTGAGCTACAACTTTGTTCAAGACCAGTTGTCGATCAAATGTAAGGAACAAAAGTTATTAATGATTCAACTCACTGATGTCTTATGATTACGCTCAATCAACTGTTCAGCAGGCAACATTGGTGTTTATGGCGCGTAGAATAGAGGACAAAAATCATGGCTACTATGTCACACTGCAGAATACAGTGTTGCCCACAATACAGTTGCTTAATCATGTCATAAGATTATCAATTTCTTAAACAATTAATAACTATTTAATTTGACGTTTGGCTGAAAAACGATGTTTTGCAAAGTTGTAGCTGATAAAAATTTCCATGTGAATATTAATAGAATTTGGTAACAGTACTATACCTAAAGAGGCTAGAAGACAATGAACAAAAAGTTTTGTTTTCCCATAGTAATTTCCATATAAACTTCAAATGGTTTGTGCCAAGTCAGTTTCTTATCAAATGAGTTAAAACTTTCGTAGGCTAATCAGGACCCGATTTGAAACCGTTTGAACACTGTGGAGCGAAAATTTCAAATTTTGCATCAGTCTAGTAATCATAGTTCTATAGAACATAGAACACAGAAGGTAAACAAAATTCTGAGAATACTCCTGCAGTTTCAGAAAGGTTAATATGTAAGGTTAACTCTGGGAGCTCCAGAAACTCAAGTAATTCTCGAAACCCCCTTAGAGTATAAAACCTTTTCGTGCTACGTTAACGATGTAAGATCTACCACATCGAAGTCTGCCCCTTCTTGTTGACGATCATGAGCCAGGGAACTGAGATGGGAAATAACAAAAGGTTTGAACCAGGGTTCTGATGCATGGTCAAATATCAGTATCATCGCTTGTTTTTGTCACTAAGAACACCCATTTTGGCGCGTCTTTGTAGAGGTCCCAGAACTTTTAGAATGATACGGAACATCACAATCGAATAAGGATTCTTGTAGTGAGACCTATTTTGATCCCAGAACTCTTCGAATGATGTTTAACATCATCATTGAATAAGACTTCTTGTGAGAAGCGCATATATGAATGATAACTGTATCGAATACGAATACGAATACCTCATTACCCTTACATCACATAAGATCAGTGTGTTGGTAGCAGTAATTACAACCCGACCAAAGGAAAAACAAATCTCTAAACGCTCTCTGTTCTTTTGGAACTTTTTGAACTTCATGCATTCCGAAAACATACGGTGCTCCTAGAATTACAGCAACTAACAGAACTCTAAAGAACTTGCTGAAATCTTGTGTAGATATTGCAAATCTCCTGAAACTTGTGAAATTCCTTTAACATAATTCTTGGAATATTACGGTCGGTACTCTGGTACTTTCAGAACTCTCGACACTCCAAAAAATAACAACGTGCCTTGAACTCCTGGGACTCTCAAACATCGATGTTTTGGTTGTTCCAATATTTCCGGAAATTGCTGGAGTTTTGGAGGATGTTTTTTTTTTATCTGTATCTTTCTTTATTAAAGAGACTTTCAGCCATTGGCTGGTTCATCTCTGATCGGATGTTTTTGCAATGTCGCAAATTCCCCCATAAAACTCAAGAATTAAACAACACAAACAAAAGGGTATTTATTCAGCTTTCAAACGATATATAACAAGTTATTACATTTCACCGTTTCGAACGAACTGTCACACTTTACTTGTGATCGATGCCATCATGATCTGCACAGTCGCTGGTGACACTGAATCGGCGAACTTATTCCACTTTAAACGCATTTGTTGTGCATTTGTCACTTCTTTACCGCATCCTCAACGTTTTCGCTTGACAATTGCCCAATATTTTTCGATCGGTCTGAACTCAGGGCAATTCAGAGGATTAATCTCTTTGGCGACGAAATTAACATTGTTTACAGCATACCATTCTAGTACCTCCTTAGAGTAGTGGCAGCCGGCTAGATCCGGCCAAAACATAACGTTGGTCTTGTGTTGCCGAATGAAGGTTATAATCCGCTTTTTCAGACACTCTTTAATGTAAACCTTCGACGTCATTGTGTGAGATTTGATGAAAACCTTGGTTTTAAGGCCACAACTGCAGATTCGTTGCCAAATCATTAGTTTCCGAGCAAACTTATCAACAAAAACAAATTTATACCTGGAAGGGACATCACCACGACCAGTTGCCAGGTAAAATTTTCGTCCGGGGATTTGTTTATAATCCCTTTTGACATATGTTTCGTTATCCTTTAAAATACAGCCATCAAATTTCGTCAAAACTCGTTCGTATAGTAATCGTGCTCGCTTTTTGGCCACTAAATATTGTTTCAGGGAGCGATTCAGATGTTTACTGGCACAAAAACACTTATATCCTTCTCTTGAAAGGATGTTACGCACGGTGGAAAAGTTGGAATCGTATTTCTTTGCCAAATCACGTATGGAGACACCTGGGTTGCTTTTCACGTACCTCAACACCTTTCTCCTCAGCTCTTTGTCCCTAGTGCCACTTTTATGATAGATGCGCTGTGCTCTATCCACACTCAGAGTATCCTTGTAACGTTTGACTACAAGACTCACCACTTTTGCTATTTTTGAGGCAGACCACGAAGGGTTCTTTAGATGTTTGTGCACAATAAATTTTCTTTTCTCAAGTTCCATGATCCGTAATGTCGGGATGCGTCGATCAATCGACCAATTTCTTCGTCAATTAAACAGCAACAAATGCCTGTCAAATGTTTTTGTTCCAACCACAGGGGCGCGGTGGTGCATTAAACCGTGCGTCCAGATTTACTTTGAATCGAGCTTTACTAATGCAAAAAGAGTCCAAGCTTAGAAATCTCTCAATTAAGAACGCCCATAAAATCATAACAGTCTCATATGGATTTTTGTCAGAAATGAGTTATCCATTAGAATCAATTGTAAACTACCGGCATTTTACAATGTGCCCTAAAAGTTATACGCTTTGTTCAGAAAATATCGTAAAAATACCAAAACTAGGTTGCCCCAATGGAAAAATATATTTGTGTACATCTAGAACACTAAGTTGGACTTGATTCACCTTCTGCTAGGACTACAACATCTCGACTGATTTGAAACTCACCGCTGTCAGGATTGTACAAACGGTAGCCTTTGGTGTCCTCACAATAGCCGACGAAGATCGCTTTTCTGGCCTTGGCATCGAACTTCTTCCGCTTCGCTTCACGGAATGTGTGCCATCACTTGAGATCCAAAAATCTTGAGATGCTTGAGGTGCGGCTTCTTTCCAGACCATGCCTCTTCTGGCGTTATGTTCTCCAATGACCGCGTTGGACATCGATTGGCCAGATAGGCAGCTGTCGAAACAGCTTCCGCCCAAAACTGCTTACTAAGCTTTGCACCGTTGAGCATGCACCGTGTTTTCTCCACCAACGTGCGGTTCATGCGTTCTGCAACACCATTCTGTTCAGGCGTATACGGACACGTGGTTTGGTGCCGGATACTTTCACGTTCCAGAACTTCACGGAAACTTTTGTGGATGTACTCCGTCCCATTGTCTGTGCGCAAAATCTTCAGCTTCTTCCCGCTTTGTCTCTCGGCTCTAGTTTTGAATTTCTTGAATGCTTTAAGCGTCTGATTCTTCCCTTCAAGAAAGAACACTACTACCATAGAGGTAACTCTAAGACTAGAAGGTCCCGAAATGACGTGCTCAACTTTTTGGCTCAGCTCTGGTACTCTCTTCGGTCCCAAGCTAATCGATTCACCCCTCGAAACATAGGAAAAATCAATAACCCCTCATTTTATCTGTCAAACTTTCATAGCGAATCAAAACAAACATTGCGTAGTACTAGAATTTCGACTAGAAATCGTTTGCTTGGGACCAATAGACTAGTCAAGTAGTGAGCCAATTTAAAATCGTTAGTTTCGTATTGATTGTTGCTACTACCTTCTTACTGGCATCGTCCACGAAGGTAATAAAGTAGCGACTTCTTTTAAACGATGGTACCTTCACGGGGCCGCACAGGTCGGAGTGCACCAGCTCTAGCAATTCCTTCGCTTTTGAACCACTGGTGGCAAACGAAAATCGTGCCTGTTTGCCCGTGAGACACGACACACAATTGGTAAGTGCTTCATTCTTGAAGTCGATTCCGCTAGCCGCTTCCTTGAGTTTCTTCAAGCTTCCTTCATTCAAATGGCCAAGACGGTGATGCCACAACTCGATGCTGTTAACCAGAAACGATTTTCCGGCCGACTGACACGATAGAGACCGCCTTCTTCAACTCCGGTAATGACAAGCTCGCCGCTTTCATCCCAGACTTCGCACTTGTTCGCCGTGAATACTACCTTGTTTCCTTGCTTACAGATGGCGCTGACCGATAACAGGTTGGTTGCTAGGTCCGGAATTTTCAACACATTAGCAAATTTCACGCTTCCTTCTGCAGTTTCCACGGAAACTGTTCCCTTTGCAACGGCCTTCATGTTGCTGTTGTTTGCTGTTCCACCGTCATGGTCCATGGCAACCGCGTTGACGAAAGGTTGATCCGAACGTGCCATGTGGCTGGTGGCACCGGAATCCAGATACCACTCATCGGTCCTTACATCTCCAATAGCGAAAATACAGCACAGTCATTTTGACTTGCTTGGCTTCAAAGACGACTTTTTGGCATTGGGACATTTGGCTGCAAAGTGCCCCGGTTTCTCGCAGTTGTAGCACAGCTTCTCACCTTTGTTACCGTCCTTTAGCTCGCCGGACTTCTTTCGGCTGGTTTTGCTGTGCTGCTGCTGTCTAGGCCGTACCGGACGCTTCGAGTCCCATGATCATGGGCTCGTACTGCTCAGGAAGTCCCATCAACAGAACCGCCGCGAGCCAAGAATCGTCCACCTTGAATCCCACGGATGCGAGCTTGTGACTTGTGCTCATCAATAAGTCCACGTACGCCTCAACGCTGGCACAATTGATTAGCCGTATTGCGTGAATTTTCTGAGCACCCCTATTTTCCTGGGGAATCCGCTGTCCTGGAATGCAGATTACAGTTTCTGAAAAGATAAATTAACTACAGATTACAGTTTCGTCCAAACTTCCTTCGCAGTTTCCGCATCCTGAACCAGGCTGTAGTTGTAGCTCTCCAGACTTAGGCAGATCGTCTCGAGAGGCTGCAACTTCACGTCTTCAGGAATATCTTCACCGTCTCCGTCAATGGCAGACCAGCTTCCTTCACGGATCAGAATCATCCGCATCGCAAAAGCCCACGTCGTATAATTCTCTCTTCCTTTCAGCTTTTCAATGGCTGGCAGCGCAACGGAACTTCTGACTCGAACGCTTCCTGCTTCAGTCTTGCCTCTTCCGTTGCCATCTCCATTCCCTTGAACTTGCTGTCCGGATCGCAAAATTCCGCTTGTGGACATACTGCTGCTTCAATGAAAAATCTTCTGAATATTCCGGTTAGGGATCATGAGCCCATAACCAATTGTAGAGTGCGATTGAAACACGTCTTTATTGGTTAACGTTATACAGTGCAATGAATTTTATTTTATATTTCAAGACCAAAAAATGAAATGGTCTCAACTCCATTTTGTAAACAAACATTGTAAGGCCATTTTCTCGCGAACCAAAGGCCCCCAACGCAAACCAACAAAATTAAAAGGTAGGGGAAATTCTCCTCTACCCAATTGTGTGATAGGTTTGCGAATGTATGTTTTGGTTCGCGAGAAAATGGCCTTACAAGGTTTGTTTACAAAATGGAGTTAAGGCCTTTTCAATTGTTGGTCTTGATTTTTTCTTTACAATAGTGACACAGATTATCACAGACTACTGCGTTATTCAATAATAACAAAATTACTTGGGCTGTATTTAGTAATTCAAGACCGACAATTGAAATGGCCTTAACTCCATTCTGTAAACAAACCTTGTAAGGCCATTTTCTCGAGAACTGAAGTCCGCAAAGGCAAACCAACATAATGAACAGGTAGGGAAAATTCTACTCTACTCGATTGTGGTTTAGGTTTGCGAATGAAGGTTTCGGTTCGCGAGAAAATTGCCTTACAAGGTTTGTTTACAAAATGGAGTTAAGGCCATTTCAATTGTTGGTCTTGAATTGTTTATATGTCTGGCTATTTAGGCCAAATGATGGTTCAATTAGATTGTACATGTTGGGTAAACTATGATTTCTCATATATGTGGGTTCAAATACATTTTTGCAAACATGCAAAACAAAACAGTATTTCGCGAATTATACTATTAACTGTATATTTGAACTTTTTTTCCAGACACGGGCATCGTGATGATCCGAAGAAAACCCGCCGGAAATCGGCGCAAAAGTCGGACAAATCCTCCGCCAATGTCACCATTATCCAAGTGTCGAACGGTTCAAGCGATAGTGAATCGCCAGTGAAGCTGATGGCCTCGCCGAAAGCAAAACTTCGCACGCCGAAGCCGGAATTGGTAACGAAACTGTCCAACGGCAGTACCCTGATTGCCGATGACCTGAGCGATGATAACTACAAAAGTAACGTGCAAATTATTCCGTCCAACGTTGAATACGATCATCACCATCAACACGTAAGCCTCCAGGATCATCAGGAACCGTCGATCATTGCATCGATCAACGATCGACAGATCACAACCGTTAAAGTACCTAATCTCGTTGTCAACGGTAGTAGTAGTACTAGTAGCAGTAGTGGCAATAATGGAAATAGCGGCAGCAGTGGGAGTGTGACCATCAGCTCAACTAGTGTTTCAACAGTGCAGTCCACAGTGATAGCGGCGGTGGCGACCTCATCGACACCAATCAAAAGTGATAGCAATTTCGGCACAGTAACACAAATTTCGGTTAACTCGTCATGTGATAGGCCTAGAACTCCTCCTCATCAGCACCAGCAACACTATGAGCAGGTGTTTCTGCTGCCTTCACCAATACAAGTAGTCAATAATCTGGATCAACCCTTTAGTCTGCAGTCACCTCCGGTTTTGTCGGGCAGTTCAGTGGCAGCCAAGCTGAATAAGAGCAAAGTCACATTACTTAGCAAACAGCAACGTTCATCTAGTCATTCCGAAATTCAGCTCAATCGAGTCAAACTTCTCCGAAACGGCCAAGGAAATAAGGAGAATCAAGGGGAGGGTGGTGCTGCAAGTACGTCTGGTCATAAAAATGGAATCTTACCATCGGCAAGTAGCCCAGCAGTTCCTTCCAGTAATCTGAGCCCTTCAAAGCGGGCCCCAGTGGATAAAAACATCTATACTCCACAACCTCAAAGGCCTATGTTGCAACGGGGACTTACCGAAATGGTTATAAGCAGGTCAACGAATGCAGTCGTAGCTGGAGGGCGAGATCCCGCCCGAGGGCGCCAACCAGTCGTTCAACAAACGGTTGATAAATTTCGGAACGAAATCAACGAGCAGAGACGAAGAAGCTCGTCGACTTCCGATGCGCAACCTGAATCGTCCGGAAATCCCGTTATGAGGGCTCGACTAAACGGAGCGTCCCGGTTGCAATCACCTCCGCAACCATTCCGACCTCACCATCAACTCATCAATCAGCTGGAATCGATGAATGGATCCAATCGGAAGATGACCTTACGGGAGCAACAGGTGATGCAGTTGCGTCGGGAAATGATGCATCCCGGTGGGGTTCGATTGCAGTTGCGCCGTAAGGATTGCATAAATTCGATTGGATTGGTGGACGCATTCGGTGCTGTTTGGGTTGCCGGTTGGAAACAGAAGGAACACCCGGTGCTGTATAATGCCTTACACATTGGCGACCAGCTGATTTCGGTGGCAGGTCAGGCGATTACTAGTGCGGCGGAGGCACACAAGGCAATCCGAGGAGCGCCGGGACTTTTTGTAAGATATTTGAAACAAAATTTCAACTGAAATTCAATTATTCATGGGTTTCTTTTGATAGGTGGAATTGATTATCCGAAGGATACCGTTCGGTCGGGTTTATGCCATCCGACGGGAGCTGGATGGTCAGTGCTTGGGTTTGATTCGCGATGGAAACACTGCAACCATAGTTGACGTGGTGCCAAATAGTCTAGCTGCGAGGCATGGTTTGCCTCCGAAGGTTTGGTTCAATCATTGTTTCATCGAACACGATAAAGAATATAACAATACTCCTGTTTTAACAGGCTCAATCCTGTGATGGTCTTTCGCTCACCTTTTGGGTGCTGACGGAAATAAATGGACGGCCGCTGAATCTATTCTTCAAGGATAATGAGATCCGGGACCGTCTGAATGCCGTCGGAAGAGACATCTCGATTTTGGTAAGTGGTAATCAAAATTTAACAAACTACTACTTTTATATATGTAAGGTTGTCCCTAATAACTATTTTCTGTTCCCTAACCAGGTGCAACCAGCCGATTTGGTGACCAAATTGAAGAAGCAACTGAAATCTCTGCGTGGCCACAAAGACTTTATTGTGCAATAGAAGAAAGGAACAAACTGCAAACCGCATGTGATCGAGCACGAAAGGTAGGTACATATTTATTCAAAACCTACCATGTTTTACCAGGAGCAAACAAACAATCGCTATCGGATAAATCGAAAACGAATTAAATCGTTATATACGTGCTGCGGTCCAAGCAGTGCTACTACATGTGTGATAGATCCAATCGCCTGCGGCGGGCTAGGAACAATTTTCAATTTTTGTTTTTCGTATTTCCGACGGTATAATCAGAAAGTCTTTGTTTTTCGTTTCGAATTTAGACCCTTGTTTTAGGTAATGGTTTTCAAAATTTATCAACTTCCAAAACAAATAGATCGTGTAAACTTTTAGGCGTAAATTAACCAATTACAATACAAATCAAAGAAACTTTAAAGGCTGTACTAGTAAACGGTGAAAATATATATACATATTTAGATTCTAATAGCAAACAAAATTAAACAAACAAGTACTGATTACGATGGAATGTGGATCCTTCCAAGGTATATTCCAAATTTGAGTCCCCCTCCCACTGTAGTGCAGCATTAGGATGCATTTTTCCCCATATATCGAATATCTAGAAAACATTCTCATACGTACTATTGAAAGCAACCAACATATGAACATTATTGATAAAAATTTCAGTAGAAATACCACAATTCGGTAAAAACTTATTTGATTCTACAAGGGATAAATCTAATAGAAGAAAAGAAACGCATAGAAATGAACATATTTTTATACTAGACCATTTTTGACCATAAAGAACATTTACTAACAGGACAGCTCAGCTAAACCAATTTCACAAACAAAGCAGACAAAAACGTAGGTGATACAACTTTCTTTCCGTAAAGTATATTCTTTTCGATAACGTAATAAAAAAAATGCTGGAACTTTTTCTAAATGCATGGAATTATAATTGTGACTCATTAGTAAAAACTCCGCTTTTCACATAGGTTAGAACACAAAAGAAAGCCTTTAGTTTTATTGAACCTGTATTCACCGTCTATCTGGTTGGTTTGGCCGTTTACATGCAAATGGTACCGTTGATGGCCCTTTCCGGAAGCTGTCGCCAGATTCGGTAGTTGAAATCATTCACGTCCAGCTTCGAATAAATCCAGATTGGCAGCCGGTTGGAGATGACCCACAACATGCCGTCGTTATCGATCTAAAAATAAATGATAGTGCATGTATTAAGTTAGAACACTTAAGCGCAAAATACAACAGTAATAGCCTTAAATAGGCAGTATATCTTAAATTTAATGTATCCCACAGAAAATAATTGTTTCTTTCAAATCTTGTTGTGTGTAATGTATACATGTAGAGGATACCACTCATTGTTGCAGGACACACCCATTAGACAATCTTATATGTGTTTCATTCTGATTTGGGATAAGTGTTTGAACTGTGGCTCGGGATTTCCATTGTGGCGTGCATTTTTATTTGAAAATTTAGGCTTTTGTACACATCATATAAAAAAATCAGCGATGTATTTTTCTTCGTTTTTGAGTTACGATTTTTTGAAATTATCATGTTTAGAAATTTCGCTCATTGCTCCAATACGACTAGACTACCTTTCGTCTCCATTGGTACATAGTTGACATATTCACATATTCCATATCAATTTTCTGCTTATGTTGGTATAGGCTTGTTTATTCAAAGTGAATACTTCAACAAGTAAATAGCTACCTAGACAGAGCACATGCTAAAATCATACGGAAAACTTGGTAGGTAAGGTGTTCGTTCGTAGGTACACTGCATGGTGGTATATTTAAGTATGAACTTAGAAGTGAAATAATCAGTAAGGAAACAAAAGCTCTGTTAATCCAAAGATATGCTGTACTGTACAACCGGTGTTTTACAAACGATGAATTTTAAGTGTTCTTATTGTTGCTTGTGGGTTTCAAATGCGTTAAAGAAGAATCTCACCCAAAGCCCTTCAAGTTCATTCGGTGATGAAGAAAGTGAAATTAGATGGCAGTTCATTCATATGCAGAAATTGCTATCTCAAACTGTATAAACCCGCACCCGAATGGCCCACCGTTGGACCATCCGGAGTTCCTGCTGTCAACAGCCAAGGTGAATATTGTATTTAAAAAAATGTATTCACATCGGTAGCCATGAGTCAAACGAGCATGACGTCACATTATAGCATTCTGAAAACTTTGCAACGTCAGGCTCGAATGGATCTAGATTTTAATAGGCTTTTTAAAGTATCTTCACCGAAATTAGTGTAGTGTTAACAGTAATGTCAAATATGTTTTTTTAACTTCATTTTCAGAGTCACTAGAAGCACCCAGTTTACAATTGATCAGTAGTACTGACAGTGTGCCTACTACAAACGATGATGAAATCATTCAGCAACTCAAGGAAACACGATTTTACCTAGAAGCTGGTCAGCATATAAAATAACGAAGGAATTCGGTGTTTCTCAATAGGGGATAATGACGACACCAGGAAGAAAGCTGAGCAGGGCGTCTTTAGCAGAAGAAACTTTATCACTCGTGCGTGATTTCTATACCAGTGACGAAATAAGCCGAGCATGTCCAGGAAAACGCGATTATGTTATTACAATAAAATGTTGATGGTAAGGTTTATATACAACGAAGATTAGTATTGTGTAATTTGCAAGAGGTTCATGCCATTTTCAAGGATACCGTCCTAAGCATTGCATTATGGCAGGAACGAGTGGCACACATACTGTTTGTGTGTGTTTTTACCACCAAAATGTTAAATTAATTTTTAAAACTCTTCAAGATAGAAAGTCGCTTCCAGCTGATGTGAAATCATACCATGACTTGTTTTTTTTTAATTCTTTGCACCAACCCCACAGAGTTTATATTCGCAGCTGGATGAACGCGCACTGAGCAAAGGGGCAATATTCGCAGTTTTTGGTGGCTCCCAGTGATCGAACAATTGGTGAAAATTAGTGAAAAATTGTCGCAAAGTGGTGCAAAATTACTGCCGGAAGCCGCGGGAAGCAGCTGGTGCCAAGTGTGACCGCAAAAAAGGTGCATTTCCGATCGGGAAAAGATTGTGCGAAAGATTCTTTCGGGCTGCTGCTGCCGCAGTGCTAGCCTTTCTCCGCTGCTTTTTGGCTGGTTATTTTTTTTCCTATCCCTGAGCTTCCGAGAGTGTGTGTGGTGTGCGTGGGGTTTCGTCCGACGGACGGACGGAACAAGATAAAAAGCAGCTAGAAGCGAACAAGCAATCCCGATCGCAAAGTGAACGGCTAGGGTACGGACGGACAGGGAGCGAAGAATAAAATTGTCCGCCTACCATGGCTACCCCGTAGAAGCTGGCGCTGGCTGATCCTGCCTTGATGCTGCTGTTGGATTGTTGTCCGGTGCAAGGTGTGGTGTGGGTTTTTTTTTTCTGTCGGAAAGGAACTGTTGTAGGACGAGAGACCACCGAAGAATTCGGAATAACACTATCCGGCGGACGGGAAGACCAGCCAGGAGACCGCAACAGTATGAGTGGATTAGAGATGGAAAATAATAGAGAAGGGGAAGTAGAGGAATTGCGACTTCAAAGCAAATCCATCGCGGATGTTCTTTCCTGTTCTTCGTCCATCCTAAACACTGATAATGATGGTACTGGTAAGGATGATGACTACGATGATGACGACGACTACGAATATGGCATCAATGTAACCCTATTGTCATCCCCACCATCAACAATACTCTCCAAGAAACCGGAGGAGACGTTCAATGCCTCTTCTCATAAGAAATTCAATTACTAACGTGCTGTTGGGCGGATCTGGGACGCAACAACACAGCGCTTCGGAAGCCTCTGATCCCTCCGAACCCTCCGAACCATTCGAGCTGTTTGTAGATCTAATCATCAGAAGTCGTCCTAGCCCTGGTTTTGGAATCGGTGACGAGGTCTTCCAGCCTGTACTTACAGGCAAGTATCGATACGTTCCAAAACCTTCTTTTTCTGAGCCACCTTCCGCTTCCAGCAGCGAATACTTAACGCAACCATCCGATCCAACCTCGCCTTCTGAAAACGACGTAGTAAGCTCGATGTCTTCTGAACTCTGGATGAACCAATCTGCTTTGCAACCGGGACGCATCGTGGAAAGCTTTATGGAAGCCCCCGGTTCCTCTAACTCAGTCGTGCTAATTCCTGTCAGCGTTCATCATAGTCGTCCTGGTCCTGACTTTAGATGTGGATTGGGGGTCTTCCAACTTGCTAGAACAGGCGAGTACATAATTAATAGCGCAAATACGATGTCTGATGCCGATCCAAATTTCAGCACCTTGAATGCCGCCGAATCAACTCTCGTACCTCGGAGCCCGGAACGCGCCGTAGAAAGCCTCGTGGAAGCCCCTGATCCCTCCGTCTCAGTCCAGCCATTTGCTGCCGCCGCTCACCATAGTCGTTCCGGACCTGTAGTCGGATGTGGAGAGGGGGTCTTCCAACCCAGTCACTATGGCGAGTATCCGCATGGTATTGTTAATGTTCATTCGCTGCCTGATGCTTCCGTGATTTCCAGGGAGAACAGACGTTCGATTGTAAGCCGCAAGCAGGACATCGTGATTTTCTTCCAAAACGCCGGTGGAATGAATTCTGATGTTGACGACTACCAGCTTGCTGTATCGGATCGTTGTTATGATGTGATTGTCCTATGCGAGACGTGGCTCGTATCGCGAACGCTTTCCAGCCAGGTGTTCGGATCCGATTATGAGGTTTTTCGTTGCGATCGGAATCCAAACAACAGCCAAAAATCTACTGGTGGTGGCGTTCTTGTGGCTGTCCGTTCCGGATTTGAGGTGAGAGCAATCGAAAATAAATCGTGGAACAGTGTGTAACAGGTTTGGACAGCCATTAAACTGGGCGATCGCACATTATTTTTGTGCGCATTGTACATGCCTCCAGATCGAGTTCGTGATCTTGAACTCATCGAGACTCACTGTCAATCAGTCTTCACAGTAATGGAAAGAGCGACTCCAATTGATGAGCTATTCATTTTTGGGGACTTTAACCTAGCAGGCGTTTCGTGGAGACCATCCCATAGCGGCTTCCTCTATCCAGATCCAGAACGTTCTGTATTTCATGCAGGAGCTATCGGCCTTCTCGATAACTATAGCGTAGCAACGCTTTCTCAAATTAACTACGTAGTCAACGAGAACAACCGTAGTTTGAACCTCTGCTTCGTGAGCACTCAGGACAATGCTCCGTTCATTTCCACAGCACCTTGTCCACTAGTTAAGCTTGTTCCGCACCACCCTCCTCTGATTGTCACTGTTGAGGACAATCTCGTTCGTGATTTCGATAGTCTTCCTGCTGCGGTTTCTAATGACTTTCGAAAGGCCGACCATCGAAGCATTGTAGATGTGTTGTCAAACATGGACTGGGAAAACATTCTCGATCATGACGACGTTGCGCAAACTTTTTCTCATGTCTTGGCATATGTCATTGACAGACACGTTCCGAAAAGAATTCAACGCAAAGACTCTCACCCTCCCTGGTAGACGATTGAGCTGCGTAGGTTGAAGTCGACCAAGAGAGCAGCATTGAGAAGATTTACGAAGTATCGCACGCTTCCTCTGAAACATCACTACGTGAGGCTTAATCACGAGTATCAGCGAGCCAGTCGTCGATGCTTTCTGCGATTTCAACGAGGTATTCAGCGTAACCTTAAACTACACCCGAAATCCTTCTGGAACTACGTGAACGAGCAACGCAGAGAATCTGGCCTCCCATCGTCAATGGAATTGAACAGTGAAGTCGCTTCCACTCCGCAGGATATTTGTCGCCTTTTTTCTGTCAATTTTGCCAGTGTGTTCACTGATGAGAGACTAAGTGACGACCATGTTTCCCTCGCAGCCAGGAACATCCCACTAAATGGTCAAACGCTGAGTGCAATTGATGTCAACGTTGAGATGATTTCTAACGCTGCAACGCAGCTCAAATCGTCCTTCAACCCTGGACCCGATGGAGTTCCGTCCGTGTTTTTGAAGAAACATATTGCTTGCTTGTTAACTCCACTTCACCGTCTAATCCGGATGTCTCTTTCCAGTGGTATATTTCCATCCTTCTGGAAATGTGCACACATGTTTCCTGTCCACAAAAAGGGAAGCAAACGAGCCGTGGAAACTATCGTGGAATTACATCGCTGAGTGCTGTTTCGAAACTATTCGAGCTTGTTATTATGGAACCGTTGCTCTCTCACAGCAAGCGGTATCTTAGTGCTGATCAACACGGGTTTACTGGCGGTCGCTCTACAACCACCAATCTGCTATGCCTCACATCCTACATTACCGATAGTATGACTGAACGGGTACAGACGGACATTATATATACCGATCTATCCGCGGCATTCGATAAGTTGAATCATGACATTGCGATTGCTAAACTCGACAGGCTTGGGGTGAGCGGTAATCTCTTGAGTTGGTTCCGTTCGTATCTTACTGGTCGCCAACTTATGGTTGCTATAGGAGATTGCAAATCAGCTAGCTTCTTTGCCACATCAGGTATACCGCAGGGAAGCCATCTGGGACCGTTGATTTTTCTACTCTACTTCAACGACGTGAACCTGGTTATCGAAGGACCTCGATTAGCATATGCAGACGACCTCAAAATATGTTTACGAATTTGCTCGATCGCTGACTGCCACAATCTTCAACATCAGCTTAATGTCTTCGCCAGTTGGTGTACTTTAAATCAAATGGTAGTGAACCCAGCAAAGTGCTCTGCCATAACGTTCTCACGAAAAAAGCAACCGATTGTATTCAGCTATGACCTGCTTGGAACGACACTCGAACGCGTGAATCAGGTGAAAGACCCGGGTGTGGTGTTGGATTCACAGCTAACATTCAGGCAACACATTTCTTATGTCATCAATAAGTCGTCTAGGACTTTAGGATTCATCTTCAGGATAGCTAAGAATTTCACCGATGTCTACTGCTTAAAATCTCTTTACTGCTCCCTCGTACGATCGACGCTTGAGTATTGTTCTGCGGTTTGGAATCCGAATTACAACAATGGTGCCGAGAGAATCGAATCTGTTCAACGTCGCTTTCTTCGTTTTGCGCTTCGTAGACTGCCCTGGAGAGATCCGCTTCGGCTGCCCAGCTACGAGAGTCGCTGCCAACTGATAACTCCGGATTAGAAGGGACACCAACAGAGCTTTGATTATCGCCGACACTCTACAGGGACGAATAGATTGTGAGGCTATCCTAAGGCAAATTGACCTAAACGTGCAACCCCGACCACTTCGTAACAACCTCATGCTGAGACTGCCACTGCGTCGCACGAACTACGGGGCATATGGTGCGATTTGCGGACTACAGCGTGTGTTCAACAGAGTCGCATCTGTAGTCGACTTTCACCTCACACGTGATGCGCTTCGTCGAAGATTCTCATCTGTTTTTGCCGGCCGCAGTGACTGACAGAGAAAATTAGTGTATTTCCATTTATGTTTTTTTACATTCTGACCATGTTGCTTTGTTTTTCTTTCTGTGATTATTTGACATGTAATTTTACTATTATTATTATTATGATTAGTATTATTAACATCATTTGGGCTACAGCCAACAATAAACAATAGGCTATCACATTTATTTTGGTGGCACTCTCTTCAAGTGATAATAAGCTGTTTTTCTCTACGGTTGTCTCGCGCGGCGTTCGCAATTGGGTTATTTACTTTTGAAAAATGTATCTATTTTTAGAAATCATCTGAAAGAGCTTCGTTTTTTAAGCACAGCGGTATTTTTTTCGAACCCACACACTTTCATCTGGATTTTTGAATCAAGATTTAAAGCAAAATACTAACTTCACTATTTGCCACTAAACTAACAAACTGACAGCTCTCTCACATACAAAGTGACACCAAAATTGATGAAATTTTGGGTTTGGGTTCCATTTTTAATACAGATTACGAATATGCATTTTCCTCAATACCCTTAAAGAACCCAATTTGCGCGATTTCGTGTCTTCGTAATTTAGATGTTAAGCTCTAAACGGTTTGACTGATTCGAGGTCGTTCCTTAAGGTGAAAGTTAATGCTTTTCCGTTGATACTGAATCCACACCCGTTCAAACCACACCCAAATTCGAAATGCACCAATATCAACAAGCATTGCAAATTAGAAAAATGGGAAGTATTGAAATTTTGAACATATTCGTAAACACAATATTGTTGTATAATTATATTAATTGCCTTGCCGAAGTTCAGGAAGTTCTGAGGAAATTCAGAGAAGTTCAGGGAAGTTCTTCCGATATTCAGGGAAGTCCTGCCAAAGTTCAGGGAAATCCTGTCGAAGTACTGGTACGGAACGTATGGAGATTTATTGTATACATCGTTCTCAGTCTAGGGTAATCCAAACAGGGAAATGCATAACTGACAGTTTGGACCTAGATTGAAAAAGTCATATAAAAGAAATCTCCTGCCGAAGTTCATAGAACTCCTGCCGATGTTCAGAGAAGTTCTACCGAAGTTCAGGGAAGTCCTACTGAAGTTCAGGGAAGTCCTTTCATTTCAATTCTTGGAAATTATGGAACTCCTGATGAAGTTCAGGGAAGGTCTGCCGCACCTCAGGGAAGGCCTGCCGAACCTCAGGGAAGTCCTGCTGTAGTTCAGGGAAGGCCTGTCAAAGTCCAGGAAACTCCTGCTAGTTCAGCAGTCCTGCCGAAGTGCAGAGAAGTTCTGTCGAAAATTATCTTTAAAAATATCAAGATATATCAGAATACCTAAATAAATAAATAAATAAATAAATAAATAAATAAATAAATAAGCTAATATGCCATATGCAATAAGCTTGAAATGCGAATAAGAAGAAGACATATTAGTCTATTCATGAAGATCCGTGAACACAAGAGCCGTCGAATCGTATGTTATGGTGAAAAACTGCAATTGTTCCCTGCTTCAGAGGAAATTTGAACACCCCTAAAACCACCAATGTTCAGTAGATTTCAACTAGATGAGATGAGTAAGACATTGATTAAAGAATTTTGAAAATTGGTTGCGAAACCAACGAGATCCAGCTGGTTGAACATTTAGGACCGAGTGATTCGTGAACCTGGTATTCCGCGTAAGTATTTTGCTCCCGGTATTTTCAGTGGTAATTAATAACTAATTATCTTGACGTTCAATTAAAATTTGGTCTTGTAGCTGGAAAATTTTTCACAATAGTTCACATGAGAGTTCAAAAAGTTAACTTTCCCCATAGTAATTCCTCAAAAGGGCCAGTATAGTACGAGTTCGCATCCAAATGAGCTCAAATTAGGGTGGAGCATAATCAATATTTTGAACCACCCTAATGCATTAACGTGTTGTACATACATCAATGCATACCAATCCGCGATCTTGAATTCTAAAATAACGTCAGATTATGATTTAAAGACTGTACTACCTTTTGCATCACTTGAAGAAAAGTGGTAGCATCGGTTATGATAAGTTTTAAATCACTTACTCTTTTTGTCATATGATGAACGTTAGGCGAAAAGGGATTCCATAGTTAAGGGTGGTTTTTAAGCCATTTACTTAGTTTGATAGCATGTTCTCCTACTCTATTTTGGCTCAATTCGATTTTGTTCAAATACATACCGTAACATCCGCTGGGTAGATCATCTCTTTGTTGTCCAAATGCACGATGCCATGGTTATCCGGGTTAAATTCCATGGCACTGTTCCAGCATCCGATGGCATTGCGGTTGACTTCGGCATAGAACAAAACTCCCGTTTTTTCGTCGAAAGCATGTATAGAAGATTGCGTATTTGGGCCCCTCGAACCCAAATGTCTGAACAGTGTATTATAATTGGCACTCGAACCTGCCAACGTCTCATTCTTCAAAACACTATTCGGCACAACAATTTCACTAATCGATGCCATCGCATGCATGTAAACCGGTCGAACTCCGGTCTCGACATCCCGTCTTCCAATCGTCAGCGAAAACACAGCATCATTCCAGATAAATTGCAATCCAGCCACGTTTAATTGCCCGTAGCGTGGTTCGAACGAAAAGAAGCTATGCTCAAAACGCCACATACGGTTTTTTGCGAAATCATAGACATATAAATTTTGGTGTTCATAATCCGGAATGTAAGCGTACGCTTCGTCACATCGGTCTGGTTCAACGTCGACTGTAATGCTCGGTATTCCGTAGCCCAACTCCACGATATCCTTCGGAATTTGAAATTTCTGAATACGACGGTTCGTGTTCAGGTCCATAATCCAAAGAGCTGGTCGCTGAACTTGTCGTGGATTATCGGGATATTCCAAGTATCCGGTATCTACGAACCACAAGCGATCGCATATGTCCACCTTAGTACGATAGACCGAGATGATATGTCGGGGATCAGCTGAGTAATCGGACTGTTGAAAAGATTACTGGATATTAATGGTGTTCATGCTACGTACTGATAGCAACTTACATGCAACTTATTGACTAAATAATTCGGATATGCCTCCATGGGAGGGTTATTCGTGCCTTTAGTTTTGCTCATGTCAATTACATTCAGCGTTGCTGGAATGCCCGGGCGTCTCCTGGGTATCGTTACGAACAGACGACCTTTGTGATGACTCACACCCATCGGTAAATTTCCATAAGCATTGAACTGTTCATTGTCTCTCGAAACTGGCGAATTTGCATCAAAGAATATATCGACTCCACCTGTTACAGGAACAAGCATTGTACAATTAATTTAAATGCTTCTTTTGATACGGTTACAATTGACAAACCCGTTTCTAAGCCGGATTTTAGCTGGTTCCATTGGTACACGAGTTCCAGTTCGTCAGCAGTGCATCGAACTGTGAAAAGAATAAGAACACTAGCCAGAAAAACCTGACCCAAGTGGTACATTGTCCGGGTAGTGAATTTATGCGGTTGTTTTTTTTTCGCGACCAGTCCGGTTGAGCACAATCCGGCAACTGAAGAGAGTGATAATTGTACTTGGTTCTGATGCCAACAATTGTGTGTCTTTTTCTATCGTCTTATCACCAGCATTAAATGTTTAGTCCCGATTGCATACTTTATATTAAGAGTAAATAAAGGCTGACTAACGAAAAACAAACACACATTTCAGATTTGATCTTCTCAGATTTCCATGTTTCTTTCACTATGGACAATCCTTGAAATTTGTGCTAGAATTCTGCCGCTTTGACTCTCGATTTTGACTGACTTCCCGAGCAGGAACGAATATCTCGATACCTTAAATTGGTATGGACGAGCCTGACATAAGAGGTAAAAAACTAAAAAATACATACCAAAAAAAATGTTCCCACAATACTATTCCAATACCAAATTATGATAATGCAATACCAAAACTACTAAACAGGTATTCTTTTGGTATCCAAATATCATTTTTTGTTATTTAAAAAGTATTTTGCATGTAATTTTTGGGTATTGTTTGGTATTTTACCTCTTATGCCATGCTTATCAATACCAAATTTTGGTATCAGATCAGAATGAGGTATTTATTAGTTATTTTCTCCTGCTCGGGTTATTGCTCAAAATGGCGTGTATAATATTTAAGAAATCCACACAGTTTGTCAAAAAAATACAAATTTTAACAATTGAATTGGTAAATACGCAATATTATTAAAATATGTTTTAGTTAAAACCTTTTCTAAGATGCTAACTTTTATGTTTGGACTTTTAATAATCAATAAAAATCGCAGAACATTAACTATTGGTTAAATTTTGGAACTGGTAAATCATCGAGCTCTAACATTTTAAGGGGTTATAGGTGGGACCATCGTTATCATCATCGACCTCCCAATTTTAAAATTACAGATAACAAAATTCAAATATTTAATGTTTTATCCCTTTTTGTTTATTTTTTAAACCATAATTGGTGTTTTGTTCTCCATATGCTATTTTTTTCTTGAAAGACTATCTATTTTCCTACAACTTTGTGACGCCATTTTTTTTAAAAGAGGTCAAAATGGCCATAGAAAACAATTCTAGATAGAATTCTAGAAGGGCGTAACAGCTTTTGTAAACAACGTTTTCTCTCGATGATTTCGACATCAGCATCGAGTAGGGGAAGACTTATTGTTAGTTGAAGTCAGACATTTGGATCCGACAATCAAAATAGTAAAATTGGGTATCCCTGTCTTTTACTGTTTACCGGAAAGGTACATATCACCAATAGGTGGATTGGTCTGTTGTTTGCATTGTATCAACGTTCAGATTATTTTAAGTATATATTTACTACCGGTGGACACATAACTGTCCTATGTTATATTGAAGCTCCGTAGATCATGATACAGCTATTTAGTTCAATTTAATTTATTTTTGGGTTTTTTCCACAGGATAGAATCAAATTTACAAGGAAATTTACTATCTGGAAACCTTTCGAGGAATTCTACATCATATCAGGTGTTTGAATTTTCAATGTGAATACCATGCTGTTTTTATGAATCCAGAAAGAATATAATATAACTCTGAGCTGTAGACTTACGAAATCCCTAGTAAGTTAAAATAAGCAAAGAAGATAATAATAAACGGACTTTGGTGCATTTTCGAGAAGTTCGGAGACGGTTTTTTTCGACGCGTGATTTCGGATTGCAGAAGGCTCGCGTCATTTTCTGTAAAATAGCAAAGGGAAAAGAATGACGCAGGCTTTTTGCAATCAAAAGTGATGCGTTGTGGGGGGGGGGGGGGTAAGGGGGGGGGGTGCTGCTTTTGGATTTTTCGAGGAGGCATAGAAGTAAATTGAACCTTAAAGCGTTTAGTGGGAATCCGCAAAATACGCAAAAAATGACTATAAAGGACTTAATTTTTACTATGAAGTATGCATATTCGGGGGAAGCGGGGATACCCCTAGAATCTGGGTATTTTTATTTTATTTATTTTTTACGCCTCTTATGAGTGTCTCTGGTTTATAATTGAATAACTTTTATTCATTTGTGTACTAGCAGCTACTCATGGATGCGTGAGATTTTAGTCATTTTATGAGTGTTTCGTTTAAATTCGAGGATGCATACTTTATGGTCATACGAGAGTTTTTGCGGTTCCGTTGATTATGGAGAAAATGGTTAAAATATAGCTCGGCTAGTTGCATGTAGGAATGTGTGTAAGCGACAGAAAAGCGTAAACTAACGCAGGAGAGTACGAATGAGATGCTCCATGAGGAACAAACATAAATTTAAGATTCCAGATGTTGCCAGATCAGCTGAAATGTGCAATTAAATAATCATAGTTAAATTTGTGTTAAAGTTTATCATGAATTAATTTAAATTAATATTTTTCAATCATGATGGTCGAGGTGGTCACTTGGTTTTTAGTTTTATGTTTTGATGCTATGATGCTAAGTATTTCTCATAATCGTATTATCTCACTAACTAACTTTATTTCAGGCTTCAGCAGTGTGGATCAGATTTTGGCAACACGTATTTAATGTATTTTTGTTGTTGTTGCTCGGTACCTGGCGCTATATATATTTTTCTTTCAATGTCATATTTCAAGAGCAAATTTTCATTATGTCGTAAGTAACATTCGCACCGATCCAAAAATAAAGTTTTGTTTTGATGACCGAAAAGTTATTCCTATTTCCAATTAAACACATATAATCTCATAGTGATAGCAATGTTTAGGGGGGAAAGTACAATTAGAATTTTTATTTTTTCGAAAAAAATTTTGTTGGCTTAATTTACTCTATATGTATCTGGGAATGAGCCTTTAAAAGCATGAACTTATATTATGAACGCAATTCAGTGAGTACATGTCAAATGGCTGAACATGTCAAAGTTGAACTTTAAATGCTTCTACTGAAAAGTAGTGTTTTCAAAATCGCCGTGCAATGTACAGGTCAGAGTTTTCATTCAAATCGATTCCGGTTTTCTGTTTTATGTTCATAATTAAATTCTCCACAACATGAATAGAAAGATTTTTTAGATTTGTTTGTTATAACATGTTTTTTTTTTTATAAACAAAGTCGAAAAAAAGGGTTTTTAAATTTTTTTTTTCAACTTCAAATTTTTTGTGTGAAAAAAACATTATTTTTACATACGAATTAATTCATGTTGTGCGTTGTACCTTCAAATTTAATGTCCTGTTTTTTTTTCAGACGTGATCATGGACGTAGGGACTGCACGGCGCGAAGTGCTGCTTTAAAAAATTGACTTCACATTATTTATAATAATTGGGCTAAATTGCAAAATTTTATAAAAATGTCACTGATAATTAATCTTTATTAAATCCTTAATAACATACATAAAGAATCGCTAACATTAATTTATTTCCCTACTCGCAATCCACTCTCAAAGATAGGCCTCATTTTAGGCCTTCTAATTCTACTTCCCCCCTTAACATATTCAGCCGGGTTTTAATCATACAAAGGCAAATCGCTAGCTTTCATGCTAAGAAATACTGGTTTTTGAGTCAAAAGTTATTATACATCGTTTGGTGGCCCCTATTGTTACTTAAGTCAAAGTGTATTTACCAGGATATTCGGGAGAATTATCAATTACGTCTCCTTACGTGCAGCCCATTCATCATTTTAGGACCACCGAAATCATCTTAGCAACAAACAGTTCGATTTATTCACTTTAATAATGAGAAAGCGAAACGACGAAAGTACACTTTTCACGGGTTTCTCAGTGCTGTTACTTAAGGCAAACGGCATCTCCATAGAAATCGGGTGACTTAAGTAACATCGAAAACTATTTTGATCGGAAGGTGATTACGTTAAAAAGCAATTTGACTGGTAAATAAATTTAAAAATGGTATGTGATCCTATATTCGGACAGTATATAGTGTAATAGCAGGAGCATCGATTGACACTGATAGCTCGACTTTGTTTACCTTTGTTACATTCGACGTAATGAAAATTTGCTCTTGATTTTAAATGCTACTAGGGGAAATGACGGCTTCGGCATGACAGACTATTTTCGGCAACCCAAATTGAAACACTATTTTCACTGGATTTTCTTACGAAAATACTTCGCTGAATGCATGCAAACGATTCTTTATGCTTTCAGCTTCAATTTGACTATATTTTTACCACTGAGAAAAAGCAATCTAGCAAGGTTTTCTTGAAATGAAACACACGCACTACAAATTGTAGCTGATTTTGAGTTGCCGATAATAGAACAGCAGATTTACATGCAGTTCAAATGGAACGGTTGCCGAAGAAAAACTGGTTGCCGACAATACTCGCTCTCACTAAAGACGATTGGAGCTTTGTAAAAGCGTTTCAAAACAGTTTTTGACAATTCTTTCGACTGAAATTGTTAGAGCAGCTGGCAGTAATAGATTGTTAACAAACCAATACTGCATATGTGTGCGTTCCTTAGAGAAAAAGGCTATAGAAAGAAGGTCGCTGCTTAGGTTGCCGAGAATACGTAAATTCCCCTATATAATATTCAATCTTATGACATATGTCTATTTCGTATTCCATGCTGTTGATTCTTTCGATTGAATTATCAAATTGCAGGATTCAGATTCATGATATTAGTTGGAATATTTATATTCATATATTGTAGTGCATTACTTATGATGTCGGTATTGATAATATTTTTTACATTATTAAATTATATACAAAATATTTATATATTGTTGAAGTATGCAAATGATTTGCAAGTATGCAAATCTTTGATGTAATATTTCAGGTCCAGTTGCGGTTATTGATGCACCAGTTTAATGTATAATTCTAATGTTAGGTTATACCACTCTTTTAAATTATCGGGTGGTGGCATGCGGGATGTATGGATTTTAATTATTTAAGCTTGCTTTCAGCTCTTCGATGATGAAACACCTCTAGGATTATATTATAATATTTCATTTGTATGATGCATTTATATTATAAATATTCACTTTTTCAGCTTAGAGATGAACTAGCCTACAGAAGTTAATGTAAATTTAAAGTAAAGTTAAAGTAAAATTAAAGTAAAG